TCCATAACACATTCCTCCTGAACAGAAACAAAACCACAGGAGTACCCAGCAGGTGAATTTAGTGCACCTTTCCTTGAAGTGATCTATTCATAGAGCAGCCTATTACTGCTTCATTAACTCTGCAGATCTGGGGCTGAGATGTACAGCACTGCTTTACCCCTTGGATGCTACTCCATTCCAATGCAATCCTTTGCCACAATTAATATTAATTTAGAACTAATCAACAAGAATAAAGATTGAAGCACTGAGTCATTGGAATTCACGTATTATGATACTGCAGGTTTCAAAGGTGGACACAATCTGTTAGATCCTGTGGAATTTAAAGTTCAAATCCAGGCCTTTACCTAAAATTTTTCTAAAGCCTACCTTTCCTCATCTCCTATTGTCCCCACACATCTTTTCTTGGCTAAACACAGCTGTCAAAAGGAATGCATAGTTTTACCACTACAATACTTGTGCCACTGCAGTGCATATAAATAAAAGTAAAATAAACAATGTTTGAAAGCTGGTCAGTTTTTCATACAGCTCTTATGAAATGATAGAATCCATCAACTACTTTGCTATTTCAGCCAGAGACCACTTCATAGGAGAAACCACCAGTCAAGCTGAAATTTCTACTAAAGGGGATGACATCTCAAAAAAATTTGTCCCTGCTAATGAACTTCAAAAGAGCAGCTTGGGCTCAGTTCTTCTGTGTGACAGGCTGGTGTAGCACCTCACTGGTCTGCCTGGCTCTCTTTCTGTGTTCTTAATCTTATGCTGCATCTATGGGTATCTGCCCTCTGTGTGCACTGCTCATCAGATAACAGTAGGTTGCTATAGTGATTGCTTAAAAAAGAGAAAAAAGTGAAAGCTGAATTGTGGAGAACCCTGAGGCTAAAAGATGGATAAATTACCAATCCTGAAAATGAAACTTAAGTATCATTTTTCCTGAATTTGCCAGAACTGTTTGTAAGGGAGTATATTCTCCTTTAGGAAATAAAGGCACATTGTTTCTTCTGTTAAATCCTTCTGATTGGTACCTGTGTTGAAGTGACATCACAAAAAAAGGGGTAAAGTTAAGTGGTGAAAAAAATTCTGTATTTTAATTTAGTATTTACCCAAGATTTTTGTTTCAGGATCAAATGGAGTTAAAATTATCTTTATGTAACACATAATGATACAAATCACAGGGAAGTAAATTAAGATGCCTAAGGCTAAAAAGGGTCATTACTTCCTGAAACCTGACCTTAATCATTCTATCTTACAGTTTCAGGTAAAGATTTATGTATTAAAGTCCTTAACAAAGATGTAGATGTACAAAGACTCACACTTCCTGCAGTAATGAACGTTTATACACTCATAGGCAGGTTATAGACAGAACAGAAAATTATAACCAAGTATCTAATCAAAGTAAGCATTTAAGCCTTACAATCCTTTAGTTTAAAGCCTAAATCATCACACTTTGTTTCCTTCAGTGCAGCTGAAGAGCCCTACCTGTGCTGGAGCCAGGGTGCACACAGCACATACACAGCACTCCTGCCTCTGCCAAGCCCTTGGCCCCACCACAGCCCAGGAGAAAGGCAAGAGCCCTTCTCTGACAGACCCTCAGCAAGAATTGAGAGTCCCACAATGTTCAAAACAAATCAGTAAAACCTCAGAACAGCAAGTTTCTACTCAACAAAGAGGAGATAGGAACACGAGTCGGGACCCAAAGTCACTGACATAAAAGGCAGCATCAGCATCCCCTCGGGGGACCCTGTGGCTTTAAAGAGTTTCCAAGAGTTAAAACAATCACTTGAAAGCTATGACTCAAACTAGCTGGCTTGCTGCAAGTGCAATAATTAAGATTCTAGTAAAATCAGAGCGATAGATATCAGGAGTAGCACATATTTATAATATTTTATTTTGTTTTAGTCAAACATTCACTACTGCTCTGAACTTTCAGAGAGAGAGATATCTCTAGATCTCTATGACATCAGGTGGGTGAGTTATTTCAGGAATACAGGCGTATTTGAAGATAGTTCCATGGACAAATATGGGAAACTAATGCCTAACTAAACCTTCATTACTGACCTCATTTCTTTTCAGTTCCATATACCAGAGGATTTAGCTGCATGTCACTAACACCTTCCTCAGTGATCTTCATAGCTCTAATTTTAGTGGATTTAATCATCACACTAAGATTCTTTTTGCTTTAGAATTTCATCCACTGGGATATGTCAATGCTGGAAGAAAGTGATAAACATTCCAGCATCTGAAATTTGTACCAAAAGATCAAAACACTTAAATTGTGTGCTCGGAAACTGCTGGATTTTTTTGGTACTATTTAAGTTCTTATTGGCAAGAAATTTAGGGGAGAGTTCCTGCTTTTCGGGAGATGGGAAATTTGCAGTTGCTTTCACTTCATCCTTCTGTTTTCTTAATTAATGGTGGGTACTCTGTCTCAAGATATAGAGACTTTGTCCTGATCCTCGACTGAAAGAACCAGCTTTAAGATAATGCATAAATTACCTGATAAATAGCCATAACCTCCCTGTCTGTAAAGCTAAACCAGCACTGATTTAACCAGGGCACTCATACAAAATTGTGCTCTGAGGTAGAATATTCAAATACATGCACTTTCTCAGATACTGAGAAAAGCCATTGAAACATCTCTTTTAGATCACACATGAAGCCTGCCAGCCACTGGGAAATAAAAATTTGGTAAGGAACAGGAGACTGTGAAGTCTATTACAATTCCCAGACAAAAACTGGTACATTCTAAGTAGATGCCCTAAGGTACCTAACATAATTTGTGGAGAGATACTAGTTTTGAAGCATGTATGACTGCCACAGAATTCCCTTCTTATAATGAACTAAGGGTATTTAAAATGTAATTTCTTAATCTAAAACTGAATAAAAGCCATAATTTTTCTTATGGGTATTTACACATTTGAGATAAAGTGATTACACAATGGAAATTCTAAAAGTAATTGCTTCCCATACATTTATATTCCAGCCCAGAGATCAAGCACCTGTTGGTTGCCCTTCCTACAGAGAATTACTTGAAAGTTTTTGCATTCTCTCCTAGGGCTGAAATACAATAGGAATCCACAGAGAACATCAATTTTCTTTGCTTTTCTAATGTTTACGACTTCCCTGTAGTATTTATCAAGAAATATACAACTCCCCATAGTTAGAGCCGTGCAAGCTAACAGTAGGAATTCTTAGTGTTGATGGAGCTATTGATCATCCAAACATTAAAATTATGTCTCCTGTAGTAAACGCCAATAAAACAGAGGTACATTAATCAGGAAATCAATAGGCTTGTCAATAGAAGGGCTAACTTTGACAATGTAATGCAGCAGGCAGACTGACTGGATGGACCAAACACAAGTAACCCAGGCAGTGACCTTTCTGTTTGACTTCTGGCTGTGCTCAAGTACTGCAGGAGGAACTGGAATGCACAGAATGAAAGGAGAGAGGTAAGGAGTTAGCTGTTTAAATTGTTCCATAGGAACAAAATTTATTGCTGCGGTGACCTTTAGTTGTTCACTTGAAAAAAGAAAAAGAAAGAAAAACAAAAAGGAAAAAGGAAAAGGGGCGGGGGAGGGAGGGGGGAAGGGATAAACTACAATACCACAAACTGAAGGAAAATACCACCACCACCATCTGAAAACCAAAAGAAAAACACAAACCCAACACCCAAACTCCAAATTTCTAGGGCATGCTTTTCAATTTCCTATGTTAACCCCTTCTTCACACAGGTTAAAATTACATATTCTAATCCCTGACCTTAGGAGATGGTAGAGCTTAACTGAGCCCTGCACCCTGAATAAATATTTCTAATGTTCTCAGCCTGAGCACTGTGCTGCAAGATACTTTGGGAGAACTTACCTTGTTTTTCTCCATTTGTTGAATGACACAAATTTACTGAACAAATATTTGAAAGTTTCTATGTGAAAACCAGAATTATATACAAGTTAATAGGGAAAGTTATTCTTCTGAGTTACACTTAAATATTTTACCAAGTATTTGATGAAAAAGCAGGCATTAGACAATAGAAAAGCAGGTAGCAAACAGCAGCTTATTACAGACAACTTATAATTTAAAAAAAATTGCGAAAACTTCTGTTATTTGAGCTATCTACATGGAAATGCAAGTTTGTAAAAATAAAAAAAAATATATATTTCACAAAGGGGGCAGTCATAGAAGATTCCTGACATTCTCTTCTCACTGGTATGCCTGGACCAATATATTGCAAAGCAATACACTTTTCAAAATGCACTACTAGTCCTGATGTCCAAAATTAAAAATCATGGTTGCATCCAGGCAGAATTTTTCAGCCATATGAAACTGACTGCAAAAACAAAGATTACAAAAATAACCCTCCCTATCACCATCTTGAGTGTTCTCTAAAGTCAAAGGTGTCCTTGTTATGTTTTTCTTTCCCACTAAAATCTGTGAAGAAAACCTGGTCTTAATCTGGATAAGAGTTTAAGTCAGAATTTTTCTCAATGCAGATCAGGCTTTTAATTAATTTATTTTAATCATTCCACAGTGGGGCAAAATCAATTCTCAATTTTACAGATTCCATATAGGGAATTGCTGTAGACTGGCCATTGCAGACCTGGCCACTTCATCTTGCATTACTGCTGAATATATTGATTAAACAAAGACCAGAAGCTGACAGGAACTAAAGAGCTGGTGCTTGAGTATGGATGATTCTGTCCATCCAATTTCAGATCAATTACTAAGCTTCTGTCAGTGAAGTATTTGTTTTGAGGAGGAATAAAGAAAAAAAGAGATCTGCTCACTGACTTGCTAAATAGTATTGAATATATCAATCAGGCAAATTTATAAAACAGCAAATGACGTCTATGTGCTAGCTAGTGTATTAGATGTATCTGAAAACAAAGGGAAAAGAAACTTTATAAAAAGGCTATCCAGTACAAAAGCAATACCTACTAGAAGAGCAGCCCACATATATACACAGAGGTATTAAAAAGGACACTGATGTGGTGTCCAATACAATGCAGCACTCATAATTAATGTCAATATCATATGAGTCAGCCCCAAATGTGACCTCTCCCCTTGAAGGGAAAAAAGAGAAAGAAAAAATCCCAATGAAAGAAAAAACACCAACTCCCATAAAGAAGCATCTTTCATCTTAGACCTGAAAAATTGCTACTCACTACATTAAAAAAATTAGCTAAAAAATAAAACACAGTGGATTCACTTAAAGATTCTTTTTGCAAGCATGTTGAAATAAAACCTGATGATGTGATACTATCCAATGTACATAGCATAGTGCAACAAAGTTAGTCATACATCTTGCTAATAAATTATATATGGTGGCAAAGTGTAGATTCTTAAAATGATATTGCAACACAACTCCAAATTTTATTCCTAAATTAAATTCTGAAAGAGGTTTTATTTTCTCTTTTTCTCAACCGAAAAACCATTTTTTTATCTCTCACAGCTCTCATTTTATCTCTTTTCCTGTCTGTGTTCCTTTTCTTTATTTGTGCTAAACATTAACAAAGTAGTAACTGGTAAAAGCCCAGACAACTACTTTTAGGAAAATTTTGTTTGATTGTTTATAAGTTTATAAAAACATCCTTAAGTATCAGAAATCCATTGCTTGCTTCTTATGTTTTTCCACATTCTTCTGAGGGAAATCTGGAGAGAATTCAGACAATCCCACTCAAATAATAATTCCAAAGTCAATGCTTGATTCAGCATCAGTATGACTTTGTAAAAAAATAAAGTTTGGGACATTTGCTTCTGCAGGGGCAAACAGACTTCATCACAATGGAGACTGACCCTTTAACCCGATCTGATTTATCAAGAATGCTGATGATTGCCCAAGTGCTGCTGGAATACAAAACCATTCCATGTCACTAGAAATGGGTCTTTTAACAAAGATTAATGTTGACCATTGTGATAACTTCTCTCTAGTTTTATTTATTTTCTAACTGCACTGGGATGTGGGACTGTGAAGCCAGGCAGTTTTTCATTTCTCCAGTATTTTCTTATTAGATATTTTCTTATTAGACAGGCTCCTGCACTTTATTTTTGGTCACCTCCCTTCCTTTTTGGGTATATTTCTACTTATACCTGTAATATGTTAATTTTTGTTGAAGATATTTATGGAGCAGCAGTCACTACACAATCTAGGTGCTATAAATTTATTTTTATTCTTACCACATTATTTCCTTCTCACACGCATGTATGACCCAGTTATAGTGCAGGATTTGTACCTCATAGCTGAAAATAGCCCTGGTTTTGGAAGCCAAGTTAGATAGACTCACACTGGGGACAAAGGCTATAAAGTGTTTTGTTGTTTTGTTGTTTTTTTTTTCTCAGAACAGGTAATTATAAGCATATTTATCACTCAGATCTCACCACAAAAATAATCCAACAACACAACCTACTTCAGCAAGTAACAACAGGAGCAGAGCCAGCTGACCCCTCTGCTCAGCACTGGCCAGGCTTTATCTGTCTGCACTAATTCATTTTTTTCTGCTCCCTCCAATTAAAACAGACTGGATAGAGGGTCCAAAGAAGGGTCACAAAGTTTTCCCAAGGGCTGAGAAACCTGCATTTGGAGGACTTAGATAATTTCATCCTGGAGAATAGAAGGCTTAAGTGGGAAAATCATCACAGTTTTCCAGTGCTAAAAGGGCAGCTACAACATGAAAGGAAGGTCTCTCCTCACGGGGAGCCACATGGGGACAACAAGGGACAATCTGTACAAGCTGCACCATGAGACTTTTCACCTTGAAATATGAAAGAATTTTTTTTACAGTGAGAGCAACCAGTGACTGGAACAACCTTCCCAGGTACATGGTAGAATCCACATCACTGGAAGTTTTCAAGATAGAACTGGACTGACATTAGAAAATGTCACCTGGGCTCCTTTGCCACAAAATGCTGCACCAGGTGATCTCCCAGGTGTGTTCAAACCTGGGCACACCATGGAATCACCTTGTGATCCTCTGTTCAGATCTTCAGCATGTCTGGGGATGGGTTCAGGAGACTTTAGGACATTTTGGCTCAAAAGAAAAGCTGAAACACAGCTTATCATTTTCCCATGTCTGTCACAGTGCCTCTACAGATTCCTGCCTGCATTTTGAAGCCATCCTTACTGCTCATCACAAGAGACCCACATGTGTGTCCACAGCTCCCATAAAACCAGAATGGTCACCTGAGCTTAACAAAACCTCCCCTCTTCCACCTGGCTGTCCCTGTTCATAGGAGCAGCACAGAACAGAATGGAAGACTTCAAGTTGAACACACCGCAATGATGATTAATTCCTGAAAGAATCACTTCAGTTAACTGAACAGTTAGCACAGTTAATTGCCTATTAGGAGCTACATATAAAACTGCAAGGTATGTCTTGGTAAACAAAAACAATGTATAATTCATCATAATAACATCATAACAACATCATAACAACACCAGACTGTTCAGAATTCCAATAAATTTGAGGTTAAAGATTAAAAAAGGAAAAAAAAACCAACACGCTCCCAGTGTAATTGCAAGGTTAATGAAGTTTGCTAAGAATACTGACCAAAGAGTATGGAAACATTGGCATCAGATGGTATAAAATGAATCTGAAAAAATGGGTAAGGAGCTAGGTTTTCTGGGTCCAAAAAATGAAAATACTCTTGAAAGTAAGGGGCAGGGACAATTGTCTTACATGAAGGTGTCAAGATGACCTGAGGAAACAGTTTAGATAACGGTTTCTGGAAAGAAAATATAACCAAGAAAGAAAGGTAAATAGACTGAAGTTCAATTTCACTTTTCATTCCGTGCTCACAGAATAAGCAAGCAAGATCACAGAGTAAGAGGATGAAAAGAATCTCATACCAGGGCAGGAAAATAAAAATGTCCTTCTTGTTCCAATTATTAAATTTCCTTCTTTCAGTCTATAGGATTAAACTAAAAAAAAAAAAAAAAAAAAAAAAAAAAAAAAAAGCAAAACCTAGGAAATTAATTATATTAGTTAACATATATTACTGACATTGGATTGTGGTGTACCCATAATTTTTTTTTCATATCAAATATCATAATTTAAAATTAAATAAAATATTTTATCCTTTTTATATTTTATCCTTTGAGCATTTGCTCAGAATACAAGACAATAAACATTGCTGTTTGTAGCTCTTCTTCCTTCACAGGAATATCACATGTATTTGCTCAAAAAACAGAGTCTGAAAATCAGAACTGTAAGTAAGTAAGATTTATCCACATTCAAATTTTAAGGTACTTGTAAATCTTATACAGGTTTTTTTCTTGTTCTTTCTTTTCTATCAACACTAGAAAGGCCATGAAAATGAACTTCCAGCTATTTGTGATGTCTCATTCAGAAATGCACCTATTTCAGTGCTAACAGCTGCCAAGCAGTAGTGATCTCTACAAGCTGGTCTGCAAACTATCCAAAGAGAAATAGGAAAGAAGATTCCAAGTCTGTTTTTGTGCAAGACAGCTTCTCCTTCCTGCATCTTCATTCTTGAAAGCTTCTGGAGGAATTCACAAAGCCCCTTCTGTAAAATAAACATTTGCCACATCACACTCTTGCTGACAGGTAGATGCAGTAATTACCTGCAGAGCACCCAAAGCCTGTGGAACAAAATCTTGACTGTTAAAACTGTTATTTTTATTTACCTCATCAAACTACCTTAATAACTGAGCATCTGTCAACTGCAGTTACTGTGTCTGCTCTGCTGTTTATCATGGAAAGATTTGGGGCAGTAGACTGCAAATTCTGTTTTTTGGTTTTTTTGTGGTGACAGACTGAGGATCTGTTTGATGGGGTTTTTGAGTGAAATTCAGGAATTAGGCAGAAATGTGTAACTTGATAGTGTCTCACAGTACTTATATGAAAACATACATTCTGAAGTGGAAAAATGTTATGAAAATGTATCAATATTATCCTTATTTTTAACTGCATTAGAGGACAGAGGCTTTTCTAGGAAGTGATTCATTTAGAAGCTGATTTCAAATTTACAGATGGCATTAACACACACAGACCTTAACTAAGACAGGAGTTCTGCTGCCCTTGGCTCTGTAGAAATGCATAGAAATGACCAGTAGATTGGGAAAAATTATCTTCGACCTTCATTTTAGACATAAAAAAAGGAAACATCAGGGGTCAGCAAAGGCCTCTAGGCAGGTAGAGAAGTAGACTAGGTAGGGTATTTTCTCTCTTGTAGGGTCTGAGAAATGAAGGGGAAAAAAAAGTGGTTTATTTGTTTTTTCTGATTCCCCCTTAACCTCTCCAGCTTCTTCCACGTACTAGATCCTTACTTGCTATGTAACAGCTGTAAGCCTGAAAAGAGGAATGATGCTATTTGGTCCAGTCCTAATGTATTTTTGTAGCCTAAAGAATTTCATTCCCAGTTTAGCTCAGCCGAGTTCCTAACAAATTATCTTACAGTTCAGATGGGTCAGTATTGAGTCAGGCTGCATTCTCAACTATTAGAATGCTGTAATCAAAAAAGAAGAGCATTCATTAATAGCAGGAAAATGAATGGTACCAATCCTGCACTGTCTGCAGCCAGAGCACATCTTGGGAACAGTGACAAAGCTTGTGGTTTCCAATTACAGTGTCCTGGGGGAATCATATTCCCTCTTAGCAGAAGTTATATTTCAGAAGCCTTTTTGTTTATTATTTTTTATCTGGTTTGGGATCTTATGACCAAGAGGTTCATAGTATTTAAAAAATATAAACCTGTCCCCATGAGAAGGTCTGATGGTCAGTACAACATCCTCATGTGCTCTGCTGTTCGTGTACAGCAGAACCAACACATCACACAGCACATGCAAACAATGTGCACTTGTGTAACTTAAACTGACCCAGTCAAATGGATCACACGTGGGGGCTGACAGTGGTAGAAGCCCATCGTGATATTACAGTTCATGAAATTCTTTAGGAGGGGATGGTGAAAATAACTGAGTGAGTCTTCTTACTTATTTCAGCATACATGGCTACTAATGGATTTTTAAAGAACTTCTGCTCAAATCCCGTTCAAGTATGTTCCAGCTATTCTCCATGAGGCTATCAAAATTAGTATTTCAGAAAGA